AGTCGGGGTTAATATGTAGATTGAACAAAGGTCGTTTTTTTTGGCATCATAAAAAGAATGAAAAGAAAACAGAATTCACGATAACAAAAGACGGCAGGTTGGAAGAAGTTGGAGAAAAAGAAGGAAAAAAGTTAGTTAACTGACACAATAATTTGTCATCGGCCAAGATTTGGTCACTCAAAATTAACCTTAAAAATCATTTTGAAAATCATCAGTTCTCTCACTAAGAAACAGAGACCATAAATCAGCTGTGAGGGGTGAGTTGTAACTTGCAACACGACGATAGAAGAAATATGTATAAAAAATATAGTTCCTCTCTCGGTCAACATGCTGGACCCAAGGTTGTTGCACTACTCATAATATGGGCGGCGAAGCCATTTTCAAAAAATACTTCACGTTCCTGGTCGACAGAAGTACAATGTAGTTCCTAACTCGATAAAACGCAAAGAGGAATTAAACCTTCGGATGGTTTTGGTTTTGCTAATCTACAATCCAATAGGCCTATGTAAAATGTCGCTAAGTGTCCATGGCTTAATTTTTATAATAAAAAAATACGACATAGATCCATGCATCATTATGTAAACATATCTCAACCAGTCAACTACATCGATAGCAATACATTGTATTATACAATTATAGTGTGCGGCTCTGATAGTGCGCATCTTTATTATTTTTATAACATCTAGTTTTTTCGGAAGTTTTCCTCGCACGGTGTCCAACTCTGTCCCCAATTAGTCTGATAATTCTGTCATGTACTCGGCCACACCCGTATTAATGGTTCTTTGGGAAAACAGGGTGGTTGTGAACAAAACCATATTATGCACGTGGGCCATGTAATTAAATTTGTAGTTGTTTTGAGATCTATTTTTATGTTAACCCAACATGAGAATGTACTACAAATCAGATCAAGGTTATATTCTTATGTTTTCATTTTTATTAATAGCATAAAGGTACGTATTTCAGTCTTTATTTTACTTTAGAAGTCATTGTTTTGGTCCAACTATTTATTGTCCTTTAATTACATATTGAAGGCTTTTCATTGTAAATAAACCCTGCATTCAAGTCGAGTGACTGGTTGAGATATGTTTACGTAATAATACATGGATCTATGGTGTCTTTTTTTCAATTACAAAAATTAAGCCACGGACACTTAGCGACATATTCCATAGGCCTGTTGCTTGGTAAGTGTCAAAGTAGAGCAGGATTAAGGTTTCAAAGCATTAACAATGTTGTCACGCTCAATATTTCATCATCATCATCATTATCATCATCATCATCATTATCATCATCATCATCATCATCATCATCATCATCATCATCATCATCATCATCATCAGTGTAATCCCCAATGGTACACACTCAACATTTAAAAAAAAGTTATTTTCAAGCAATCTTTCTGTTTATCTTAGAAACCTTACAAAACTACCACATTAACACATATTAATTATTTTATTAATAACTTACCAAAATTCGGCAGCACACCAGAACACAGGACAAACAAAAACGTAAGCCAAGCTCTTCTCACGATAGTTTATGTCTCGTATAAACCCAATAATTCTCCAATGAACCACGTGTACAACGGTGACTATTCTCCGGTGTTCGGTCTCTAGACTGAAGAAATATACCTGACTTGCTGTCCTCCCCTCAGAGACAGTCTTTGTCTTTGTGTGGATTTCACTCAGTTTTCTTTTGTTTTAAGTTTTAAGTCACATGTCTACTACTAGCGGGGATCTATTACAAAGAGGGTAATTGCCTCTGGTGACTTGATTTGTTGACATTTTAATCCAGTCTTCCCTTTCACCTCCCAAATGTGTCAGCCATTGTGTTCGCCATCCAAATGTTTTAACTACTTTTTAGTGTCAATAGTTAATACTTTAATACTTTAATTGTTACGCTTAAGCCTTACGCAACCCTAACCCCCACGCCACTTCCCAACCTCAGGCTGTGATATGTCTTCATTGTTAACCCCTGCACTGTCTGACTGGCTCAGAATTGGGATAGTTTTGAGACCACAGTAATGACACTAGAGCTTCATAACACTTGCACTCTCAAAGCTATTACTTGACTTAATATTTACTTTGAAAAGCTGCAACACAAAAAAGATGATAAGGGATAGGAGAGACTATCTTGTCTTTGGGATGGTCAACACGACTTAGTTGTTTGTAATCAGTAAATCCGGGACAGGGTTTCGAGGGTTAATAACGGTGGTGAGAACAGAGGCTGCCGTTATCCCCATTGTAGGTGCTGGTTTAGTTGAAGGTTTACCTTGTTTCAGCGGTCTACCGTAAGTCCCGCCAGATCGACCGCGGTCTACTGCGATAATACGTCATGTCTGGCGTGTCGTAACTCTCTCCTTAGTTGCCGTGGGGTGGGGTGGGGTGGGGGTGGGGGGGGGGGGGTGTTTCACTTCCCTCTTAGGAGTGGTGTGAGTTATTACGCTACTAAATTTTATTATCATGGGAGAAGAGGGTGGGGTTTTTTTGGAGGGGGAGGGTGGGGTGGGGTGGGGTGAGATTTAAAGTGAACCATCAAGCCTTGTTCGATATATTGGGGGGGGGGGGGGGGCAGTATCTTTTTGGGAGGGGGCAGTATGTTTTTGGGAGGGGGATTTGAGCAGAAATGATCCAATCGTGTCGCTGCAAGTTTTTAAATATACAGTATATATGAAGTGCACTGAGGCTTTTAGAATTTTATTCTTATTCCTCGCTAGGTCGTTTTCCGTTTTGATCAGTCAGTTTGTGTTTCCTTTTATTTTCTTGAGCAATACAGTTGAACCTGCCCTGACGGTCACCTCTATAAGACGGCCACCTGTACAAACGGCCACTTTCCATTTTCCCCTTTGCGTTTTTTCTATATAATTTAACTGTGTAAAACGGGCACCTGTACAACGCGGCCGCGGCCACCATATTTTAGCACACAACCTCTATCACACTAAGCAATAACACCTGTCTAAGACGGCCACCTTGTGACTCATTACGTTTTGTCATAAATTGTGCATTGGCCCCTGGCGTTGTGGGCGAGCCGTCATAATCCAATCACTTGTCGTTGTTGTTAGGTAGTCCCCCCAACCGATCATGTTGCGTAGGCCCCTCCCTCTGTTGACCAATTGGTAGGCTACCAATTTTCAGCTGCTGGTGGCGTAAGCGTGTAATCCCTCATAACCCAAAAGCCCCGCCCAGAACTCATACGCAAATCGTAAGTGAGATGAGTGGTCACTGTATACCCAGTCTGTAACAA